TTTGACAACAGCACACGACGCAAAATTGCAAAAAATCAAGTTTTACAACTTTACTGGGACCCAGATAATTCTGCAACCAGGTAGGTAATCTTTAATTTCAGACAGAGCTTAGGAAAAAAATTACTAGTTGCGGGGGTTAAATTTTGGGTTAAAAATAGCAATTTTTGGTATTTTTTGGTAATTTTTGATGTGGTAACCATGGTTTTCACACAAGTGACATACATAGAAAAAAGAGGTTTATACACTTCTCAGTACTTTATATGTATTGTAAATGTAATGCAGTTTACAAATATATATACATGTATACATGTATTGTGTAGGGTAAATCTGCTGTGTTTACATTTCCTCGACATGTGCCTTGTTTATCAGAGTCGGGCCATTTCTACTGTACACTGCTACCTAAGCACAATTATCTTGAGTAGTAATTTTCAGTCATATTCTTTTAATCATCTATATATGATAGACACACTTACCTTGAGTAATAATCTTGCGTCATACTCGTTGAGCTGTAGACCTGTCTCATCCTCCACACATTGCAGGAATGCTTTCCTTGATATTTTATGGGACTTTTCAAACAGACCCAGCAAGATTGACCTCATCTATATAAAAAGATAAAATATCTCTCTGATTTTTTGGACAACAAAATCTGCAAATAGCACATTCTAGCAACTATCTCCAGTCATGGTCTTTGTGTAGCAGCTTCAGAAAACAGAACCGATGCAAAATCTCCCAACAACTAATTATTTTTCATGTAAAGAAATACATATAATTGTCTGGGTAGCTAAAAGTGGCTACATACATGATACAAGTAACATATAAATATTTTATAAACTTAAACATGTTTAAACCTGTTTAATTTACCTTCAAATGGCCAAAAATGGCCTATGATAAATGATTTATACATCTGTCATTTGTTCTAGGAATTCAGACAACGACTGACTTTATGTCTTCAATGTTCACCAGAATAATATTAAGGATGAATCATCAAGCTTACCTTGTCCAGTTTGTCCCCTGTTTTGGGTAAGGCATAAATAGGTTCTGCTTTTGTATTGGAAGGCCACTAAAATTAAAACCGAAATCTTATCAAACATTATCATCACTGTACATCAGAAATTTCCAATATTAAGAATGCAAATCAACTTAAAATAAAACTTTATTTTTACCTTTTAAAATGAATTCAGAACAAATGACCATAGACCTACATAAGAAATGTGCGAAAGATCTGATTATTACTTTTTGAAAATAAGGATACCAAACTGTATTTGTCAAAATCCAAGATGGAAGCCTGGGGGGCGGGG